GTACCTCCCCAGGTACTTGAACTGCGTCAGCGCCTTGCGCAGGCCCAGAATCTCCTTTATCAGCTCGCTCTTGGTCTGCGCGGCGGCTGCGGACACGAACAGAGCGAGAAGCGCGCCGATAATGAGAGGTCGGAACGACATGACGTCTCGTGGCTTGATGGCGAGGGGACAGGGGCGGAAAGAGGCGAGATGGTTGTTTGAAGAACGCGGATTTTGCTTATGGTCTGCTAGCTTATGCTGGTGCTTCCGCGAGAAGCAGAACTTGCTCTAATGAAAAGGCTCAACAGGTAGACACAGATGACGGATTTTGCCTTATGTGTAAAGGAAACCCAGCACATTCTAGCACAGTTCTACCCTTCTAAGGGGGACTTCAATCAACCCTATCACACCGTAGTAAGAGTTGTATTTATTTCTGTAGAATGCACATGAACGCAGTGAACCGAGCTAGGTGAACTCCGACAACACGCCCTAAAAAAGTGCTCGTTCTGCACGACAACAAAATGGGAGGTTGCTGGAGGTGAGGGCGGGTGAACGGGTCTGATCCAGGGCTTATCTTTACGAGCAAATACCAGAAATAGTAGAAGTTTCACGGGTGATGTTTTTACCGTCCCCCAATTCTCACGGATAACAAATTCATTCTGATGGGTGGAGTTTCGGGATCGCACGGATTCGACGGATAGTTGACAGGCAGATACCGAGACTGTAAGTTTGGACTGCCCTCTCCCCTTCATAATGCCAGTACAGTATTTCGATTTTGTTTGACGTTTCTGTGTACAGCTGCACCCCGTGTTTTTGCGCCCTCCAGGCAGAGGAGGGAGCTTGAAGCTGCCGTGTGTTTAAAGGGACTCGGATTTTATGGGCGGCTTTCGACGGAATCCGGAGTATGACGAATTGTTCTGAAGTATACCCGAATCTGCGAAAGGCACCGGAGTAAGCCTGGGTCCCACAAACGGACGGATATGGCCATCCATATCGGCTTCCAACGGTGGAGATTCCTTTCCTCTTTTTTTTAACATGTTCCAAGTTTTAACTGGCTGGGCGAGGTGAACTGGTTGGCTGGCCCCATCTGCCCTTTCGCCTAGAAATCTGCTGACTTTTGGGCGGTGAGGGGCGACTTCGACAAAGCAGCTGGGGCTGGGCTGGGAAAACTTTCGGGACTCCGAATAAAGAGGTGTGGAATCATCTGAATTTCGGACAGCAAATTCTTAGTGGTGGCGTTCTGGTATGGTCAATACCGTAGGAGGGAAGAGCGGTCAAAATGGACGTTCTCAAACTTTGAACAAATACAGTAACGTGCTGTTGGAGAAGAATCGCCAACAGACCTTTCGAATTGAACCTGCCGCTGTACAAACTTGCCAACTGGTCGACAGCTTTCGCCACGCCATCGGGAAACATGAAAACACCAGAAGAAACCCAGGGGATTTGCCAGGGTGGAAATAATGCCTTTCCCCAGAAGATACCGGAATACTGTACTAGTATGTTCAGTACAAAATTAAATTGTGAAAGCTTGCTTAGGTCCCCTTGTAAAGGCAGTGTGCTTCATTTCATCTGGGAAACATACATGGTTCTCGTCCAACAAAGAACTTACACACAAGAGGGTGGGTGGGCGGGGAAATTGAACTAGAGAAACTAGAAATGAAGAACGTGGGCGAGGCCGAATGGCCTCACGTCCCTCTTTTGTAGGCAAAAGAGGGTGACTAGCGCTTCGTCGCTGCCTTTGCTGCGTTGGCCCTCGCTACACTCTCACAATACACATTTTTAGAAAGTGTTACACACTTTCAAAAAAATACATATTGTGAAAGCTTGCTTAGGTCCTCTTGTAAAGGCGGCGTGCTTCATTTCATCTGGGTCTTCTGAAACATGTGCAGAAGGGGTTGGCGGTGGCGTTCAATAGATAGCTGGTGCTGATTGGGCGTGGGAGCGGTGGTTGCGTCTTGGAGTTGCATGGAGGCTTAAAGGAGTTGGTCATGCGCGATGGTAACGTAGAGCTCCTTGGCATTATCGCTGCGCGAACGGCCAAGTCGCTTGAACAGCCGGTCGGATATCCCCAGGCTAGCTGCCGCTGTAGCAGCCCCCTTGCGAAAGGAGTGGGTGCCGAGGTGGGCGCTATCGAGGCCGGCCCTGGTGAATGCTTCAAGGCACCAGTTCCGGATGGTGGTGTACGAAGGTGCGTGGTCCTGTGGAGTTGCCGTACTGCTGTTCCCGAAGACTCGGATCAATGGCCCGTGTGGGGTGGAGGTGTGACCCGCGAGGAGAAGAAAAGTGTCGTGTGCAGCGTACCGGGCAGTATGGGCCAGAAGTGGCGGCGACCGGAATCCACGTGCCCCTGCTTTCCTGGTCGGTCTTGGAGTGCGGGATGAGCAGCCACATCGCCTCAAACTCAAACTATATGTTATGCCATTGGAGACTGACAACGTCGGAGTAGCGTAAGAAGGCGGCGAACATAAGGATGGGGACGAGTCCTTTCTGATACTCGGCCGGCCGGGTGGACTCCAGAAAGGGGCGGGCCATGGTGTGCACTTGGTGCAGGGACAAAGGTTCCTTGTTCCGGGTGGGGCGCGGGCCATGACGTTAGGCAAATTCGCACACTTGTAGTGTAAATGGTCTAGTCGAGGGAGAGGGCTCGCCAGTCATGCGATGCGCGAAGGTGACGGCGGAGCATGTAGGCGATATGGCAGATGTGGTGGCCTGGTGATTTAGTGCATGAATGAGGTAGAGTGCCAAGGTCATATCCGTTACAGGCAAGTAGCTCAACTTCACCTTCATGCAAAAGGAGCGAAATTTGAGCCAGTAGGGCTCATACGTTCGGATGGTGGAAGGGGAACGGACAAGGGTGATTACGTGTAGTAGTTGTGTTTGCAGCTTCGTTATAATGCCTGAAAAGGTACAGCGTAGAGTACAATTATTATTAATTTTTATACGTGACATGCAATGCAATCATCTTACTAGGAGGAAAGCCTTGTCCTGCGAAAGCGAGTGCCGGGGCGTATGCATTGGCTGCCGTGGGTGAGGGGAATGTGTGCCGTTACTTCTGGCACCCTGGCGTCAGGTGCCTGTTGGCAACCATGATGCTCCCGGCCACTCGGGAATGACCAAGGTTACCTCAGTGTGTGTGCGTTTAGCGTGTCGTAATGTGGCTGGAATGAGGTTGGGAGGGGGAAACGCAAAGCCGCGCTCGTGCTGCCAGCAGAACGAAAAAGCGTCAAATACTGCGGCCGTAGGGTGTGGAATCTTGGAACAAAACCTCTCCAGCTGAGCGTTGTGCACATTTGCGAAGAGATCGATAGAGTGGGGACCCAGGCGGCGATCCAAGAGCCGGAACCACGGGGCTTTGAGGGAGTAGTCATCGTGGTCTTGGATTTTTGAAAGTTCGTCGGCGTGCACATTCAGCTCTCGTGGGATCCATTCGGCAGCTAACCTTGCTTGGTGTTCCAGGCAGAGGCGAATGATTGCTTGACATAGTAGCGTAAGCGTGGGGTGGCGCAATCCACCTTTGCGTAGGATGAATACCACGCCTTGATTGTCTACCCGAACGAGCACGTGGCACTTGGGTACGCGGGCAGCGAAAGTTCGGAGAGCCCATAAAACTCCTTCGAGTTCCCGTCGAGTGCTGGAGGTGGGCAGTAGTTCCTCGGGCATGTGAGCACTGGCTTCAATGGGCGTCCCAGGAAGTTGTGTCAGGGTGGCGCCCCAGCTGTGTGGACTTGCATTGACGTGGATGACGACATCGAACTGGTGACTGAGATGGAATGGGTTTCCGTTGAACTTGTCGAACTGCGCAAGCCAAAAATGCAGCTCGTGCACTGCTGTCGACGACAAGTGTACCTTAGCGTGCCAAGAGGTGGCGTCTGCAATAAGTCGAAGGAGCTCGTGACTAAAGGCACGTGCCGTAGCGCCCAATGCTAGATTCAAGGAGGCCAGCATTCCTGTGATTCTCGCAAGGGACCGGATGGGAACCGGTCGTCCCTCTTGTCCCTCGGTGATGAGGGCTTGGAGTGAAGCAAAAAGTTGTGCTCGATGTTCGAGTCTGACGGAGAAGGTGCCTTGGGCGGCATCAATCTCCAGGCCGAGGAAAGCTATCTGGCGCGAGGGGTGTAGATGTGACTTTTTGCCGTTTATAACAAAACCTGCTGCCTTCAGGTCCTGAACAACAGCTGCGCAGGACGAGCGTGCATCCGAGTGGGAGTTGCAGAGGAATAGTAAGTCGTCAACATATGGAACAACCCGCACGCCGCTTGCCCGCCATCCCTTTGCCAGTTGTTTGATCAGTTGTGTGAAGACAAACGGGGCAGTGGCAAGCCCGAACGGGAGCGATATGAAGGAATAGTAGTCTCCTTCGAACTGGAATCCCAAGAACTTCCAGCAGGAGGGGTGGATCTCGACATAGTGGTAGCCTGACTTTAGGTCGATGGAGAACATCCAATCGCCTGGGCGGATGAGTTCGGCTACCCTGCTTAAGCCTTCGTACTTGAACTTGGGGATGTCGAGGTAGTTGTTGACTTTGCGCCAGTCAAGAATGAGGCGACACTTGTCGCGTTGCTCCACCACAATAACTGGACTAACACACAAGAGCGCGTCCTTCGTAGGGACCTTGACGGCGGCACCCGAAGTGACGAGGTCGCGAATCGCGTCACGAGTGAAGTCCAGGTGTGTGCGAACTCCAGCATGATTACTATCCTCAAAGGCATGTGGCACGGCTTCCTTCCAGGGAAGCCAATATCCTTTCGCGATGATGGACAGGATGAAACTGCTATCGCACCATGAGCACCACCTGTGTAGGGCGTGACGCAATCGACAATGCATGAGCATTGCGTCCTTGTCTGTAACCGCGCACTCGTAGGGGTCATGTTCGTTGTGTAACCGCCCTTTCCCGATTTCTGCTGGACCAAAGGGTCGGGTGGCAAGAATCACATAGGTACCCAAGTGAGTGAGACCAAACAATTGCCTAAAGGGTGGATGAGTCATAGCCAATTCCAAGGGGGGCATAGCTCCCATTCAGTTGGCAAAGCGAGAGTGGCTCATGTTTAATTGCAAAAGGGGCATGGCTGATATTCATGCCTTCTCCCTTCAGCGCTCGAGCCTTCGTCACCTCTCTCTCTCTCTCTCTCTCTCTCTCTCTCTCTCTCTCTCTCTCTCTCTCTCTCTCTCTCTCTCTCTCTCTCTCTCTCTCTCTCTCTCCCCCTCTCTCTCTCTCTCTTTCTCTCTCTCTCTCTCTTTCTCTCTCGCTCTTTCTCTCTCTCTCCTCTCTCTCTCTCTCTCTCTCTCTCTCTCTTCTCTCTCTCTCTCTCTCTCTCTCTCTCTCTCTCTCTCTCTCTCTCTCTCTCCTCTCTCTCTTCTCTCTCTCTCTCTCTCTCTCTCTCTCTCTCTCTCTCTCTCTCTCTCTCTCTCTCTCTCTCTCTCTCTCTCTCTCTCTCTCTCTCTATCTCTATCTCTCTCTCTCTCTCTCTCTCTCTCTCTCTCTCTCTCCTCCTCTCTCTCTCTCTCTCTCTCTCTCTCACACACACACACACACACACACACTTTCTTTCTTTCTCTCTTTCTCTCTCTATTTTTTCTCTCTCTTTCTCTTATGCTCTTTCCCTTTGCTTTCTCTTATGCTCTCTCTCTCTCTCTCTCTCCTCTCTCTCTCTCTCTCTCTCTCTCTCTCTCTCTCTATCTCTCTCTCTCTCTCTCTCTCTCTCTCTCTCTCTCCTCTCTCTCTCTCTCTCTCTCTCTTCTTTCTCTCTTTCTCTCTCTCTCTTCGCCATAACGGCATTCATGATCCATGCATGGAATAACACAAGGTTCTAGGCCCACGGCCTTCTCTGCCCCTAGGGCTACCCTTGTCTACTAGGCCATTTGCCTTGTCCTAGGGCCGGCCACCAGCCATGCACCCCCGGTGCAAGCCTTTCTTCGACACATTCCATCCTGTGACACCTGTCCGGTGGTTCCTTCGGGCTCTCTCACAGGTCTGAATATCCCCTCGTTCTCCAGGAACCTAGTTGGTGTCGGCTGCCTCCAGGACCTTGGCGTCACCACTACGTTCCCTGGCCACGAGCAGTATGCTGCTGTCTGTACCGAGGCCGCCACAGGTGCCCCCCCTGTCCACGTTCCCCCGGGACCCGGTGTCCGGCTTGTTCACCCTGGACACCGTGACCCCCCCGGCTGGAGCGCCCCTCCAGGTGGCCGCGTCTACCCAGGTTGCTATTGCCCGCTCCTGTCGGTCCCTTACTCACCCGACTCTCCTTTGGCATCACCGCCTAGGTCACCCTGCGCTCCCGCGTGTGCGTCACATGTCCCAGCACGGTCTCGTCCTTGGTCTCCCTGGTTCTCTCCCCGCTTTCCCCTTCTCCCATGCCCAACCTTGCACGCCTTGCGTTGAGGGTCGGCTTCGCCGTGCCCCTCACTCCTCCTCGTTTCCCCCTACCACTGCGCCGCTGCAGACCCTGCACATGGACGTCTGGGGCCCCGCCCCTGTCCATGGGCCGCGTCGAGAGTGCTACTTCCTCGTGCTTGTCGACGACTTCACTCGCTACACCACCGTCTTTCCCCTGGAACGGAAGGCCGACGTGCTTGACGCTCTCATCCCCTGGCTTGTCTGTGCGCGTGTCCACCGAGGTCTCCCTGTCTTGCGCCTTCACTCAGACCGTGGTAGCGAGTTTGCCTCAGGTGTCCTTGGTCGCTTTCTGTCGTGCGGAGGGCATCACCCAGACGTTCACCCTACCGGACTCCCCACAGCAGGAATGGGGTTGCTGAGCGACGCATCGGCTTGGTCATGGAGGTTGCTCGCACCTCCATGTCCATGCCGGTGCACCCCATTTTCTGTAGCCGTTCGCCGTGCACTACGTTTCTCACCAGCTTATCATGTGGCCCCACCCCCAGCAGCCGCAGGTTTCGCCGACCCGTCTTTGGACCGGGTCACCTAGTGATGCGTCTGCGTTCCACGTCTGGGGCTGCCTTGCCCACGTTCGTGCCTCCTGCACCGTCGCTTCCCCCACCGCGGTCCCCCCGGTTACCCCCCCCCTGTTCCTGGTCACTCCTTCTCCGGTGGTCCCTGCCCCCCCCCCCCCCTCCCCCTCCCCGTCCTGCCCCCTCCGGTGTGTCCCACGTCACTTTTCTCCCGTCGGTTGTCCCGGTTGAGGTGTCTTCTGACTCTGGTGGTCCTGCGGCGCAGTCCTCGCCGTCTGCCCCTGCTCCTCCGTCTCACGTCTGGTCTCGTCGTCCCTCCCGTGCTCATCCTGTCTCCCCTGTCATGCGCTCTCACCCTATGTTGCTTCGTTCCCACGCATCTCGTCCTCCCCTTCTCCCGTCCCCTCCCCCATCCTCCCTTGTCGTTGTTCCCGCCCCTCTGTCTGACTACCTTCATGCCGCCCGTCCTCTCGTTCCTCGGGTCCTTGCCTCTCTTGTTACCGACCCGTCTGTTCCGGTCTCGTGTCTTGACGCTCTTGTTGCTGCGGCGCTGACTTCGCCTCTACCCGCCGCCTTGACTACGCCACTGCTCTGGTCTCTGACCCTGCCGGTCCTCCGTCTCTCGGGGTGCACCTGCCCTCGGCAGTGACGTCCTGGAGGACCGCCAGTTCGAGCTTGCTCTCCTGTCCGAGGCTGCTCCCTATCTCTGTTCCATGCTGCTAGCCCGTAAGGGTGACCCAAACGCTTTCGACATCCCGACCCCTCGCACTTACGCTGAGGCGACCTCGGGACCCTGGGCCTCGCAGTGGATAGCTGCCATGGAGCAGGAGATGGCATCTTGGAGATCCACCGGCACCTTCGTCGACGCAGTTCCCCCACCTGGGGTGAACGTAGTCGATGGCCGCTGGCTCTTCAAGGTGAAGCGCCCTCCTGGAGAGCCGCCTGTGTTCAAGGCGCGCTACGTGGCTAGAGGTTTCACTCAGCGTGAGGGGGTAAACTTCTTCTAGACCTTCGCTCCGACCCCGAAGATGACTACTCTTCGGGTTCTGCTACACCTAGCAGCTCAGCGTGACTACGAGCTTCATTCCCCTCGACTTCTTCACTACTTTCCTTCAGGGCAGCCTACACGAGCAGGTCTACCTACGTCGCCCCTCAGGGCTTTACTGGCACCTTCCCTCCGGGGACCCAGTGGCTCCTGCGGCGTCCCGTCTACGGCCTGCGGCAGGCTCCCCGTGAGTGGCACGACACGCTGCGTGCTACACTTGTTGACCTTCAGTTCTTTCCGTCCTCGGCAGACCCCTCACTCTTCGTTCGTGCTGGCCAGAATCTGTTCTACATCCTTGTGTACGTGGACGATTTGGTCTTGGCCACAGTAGATAGGGACGCACTAGCCTCCGTGAAGGCAGAGCTGCAGAAGAGACGCACTTGCACTGACCTTGGAGAACTTGCGTCGTTACCTTGGCTTGCAGATCTCCAGGGACAGAGCAGCACGCATCATCACTTTGACTCAGTCACACTTGGTGCGCTAGGTCCTTCAGAGGTTCGGCCTTCAGTTCTCCTCTACACAGCCCACCTCTCTGTCTCTAGCCCACAGGCTCTCCGCCCCAGTTCTTGAGGAGTCAGTAGAGCCCAGTGGTCCTTACGCCAGTGGTGGTTGCCTCATGTACCTGATGACTTGCACTCGCCCAGATCTCGCATACCCTCTTAGCATCTTGGCTCGCTTTGTGGCCACTGGCAGACACCGACCGCAGCACTGGTCTGCCGCTAAGAGGGTTTTGCGTTATCTTGCTAGTACATCGGGCATGGGGTTAGTGCTGGAGGGCGCACGCTAGTGGTCCTTACTGGACACACAGACGCTTCGTGGGCGGACGACGCTGGTGACACTCAGGTTCTTCCCAGGGCTACTGCTTCAGCCTTGGTTCCGGTGCCGTCTCGTGGAGAGCTACCCGCTCCTCGTCTGTTGCCTAGTCTAGCTGTGAGGCCGAGATCTACGCTGGTGCCATGGCGGGACAGGAGCTCCGCTGGCTGACTTTCTTGCTCATTGACTTAGGTGAGCGGCCTAGGTCTGCCCCGGTCCTGTACGCTGACAACAGGGCCATGATCCTCCTGTGTCTGGAGCCTCGAATCGAGGGCAGAGCGAAGCATATTCAGTTGCCGGTACTTCCTCATGCGCGAGCTACAGCAGCGCCGCCAGCCTCGCGTAGTACACTTGGCCTCCGGTGCCAACACAGCTGATATCTTTACGAAGGCGCTTGCGCCTAAAGATCATCAGCGGCACTGTGTACAGCTCGGTCTAGTTCCTGTAGCCTCTTACTTACTAGGACCTTGACCTTGTACTGTCCTATATATCTATATGTACTCAGACTGGACTTGTGTCCTCTACCAGTGGCTGGACTAGTAGTGCCTCCCTGGTCTTGTTCTTGCCTTGCCTGTACTCCTTCTGACTGGTCTTTAGACCCTTGTCTCAGTGGCTGGACTAGTAGTGCCGCTCTGAGCTGTTTGTTCAGGACCTGCTCCTATGCAGTCTAGGGGGTGTGTCAAACATTTGTATCTCTTACTATGTTTGCATAGACTGTATAGGGTCACGTCTTAGAGGGTACAACACTTAGATATATTCACATGTACTCTCTCTCTCTTATTCATTATTCATTCCGTTTTGAGAATAACTTCACTGAGCATCTGCTAACGAGGAATCTGCTACAGGGATTTGTACAGTCCGACAGGGTCAGTTTGGTGCCTCTGAAAACGGTGGGAGATTGATGCAGCAGCAGTGCCAGGTGTCATTGACCAATCTTGTATGAGTGCTGTGAACAGAGTCACGACCATTGCTTACGCGATCGAGGTGGTTCAACAGCTAGATGGACGGTCTAAATCCACTCGACAATTTGTTGTCTTTCGATTTCGTTTTGCCACTTGTATTGGTTCGTCTGCCCGTCTTTGCTTTGCGAATGGCAGCTGACGCGATTTTCATCCTGCTCGTTTTTTTTGCAGCTGAGCGAACCTTGGTAATGAAGGGCCAAAGACTGTTTAAAGGCAAGAAAAACGAGCAAGGTGTTAAAATTATATAAGTTATAATTTATATAGGCTTGGTAGGTTGTTACTGAACCTTTTCTGTAGAGGGTACAAACCCCTCCTTGTACTCCTCTCTTACTAATCCAACTCTCTTTTCTTCTCCTCAACTTTCCTAGCACCTAAAACCTCTCGCCATTCTCATTGCTCCTCCTAGCTCCTAGCTAAACCTTGTGCCATTCTATGGCTTCCTAGCTAAGCTAGTCTTTTGACATGGTATTAGAGCAGTTCGTTCCGTGTGGGCCTGCTCCTCGCGTTTCCGCTGCGTGCTCGTTTCTCTCTCTATCTCGCGCTGCCATGGCGGCCGCGTCAAGCTGCTGTGGCCGCGTCGTCGTGCGCGGCGCCGCCGTCGACGTCCATGGCGCCCGCGTCCAGCTGCTGTGGCCGCGCCGTGGTGCCGCAGCTCCGCCGTCGCGTCAAGATGCTGTCGCGACGTGACGGCGCCGTCACGCTGCCGCGGCGTCTACGCGACAGCGCGCAGTCGGCGTACCGGCGACGTCGTGCTGCCGTCGCAGCGTCGACGCCCCGCTGCGGCATCGACGCCGCTCCATGACGGCGTCGTCGGGCTGCAGCCGGCCGCGTGACGCTTGTGGCGCCGCTAGACCGGCCGCCCGCATGTCAGCCTGTGGCGCCCCCCCCCCCCCCCACCCCCCCTCCTTCCCCTGTGCCCTCTTCCATTCCGCAGACGACGGCTGACTCCCGCCGGCCGTCCCACCGTCGCGGGGCCAGGCCACGTCACCGAGAGGTGCGGGTGCCGCCGCCGCTGCCGCTGTTGTCGAAGCCGCCGCCGCCGCCGCTGTCGCCGCTTGCGTCGGGGCCACGCAGCCGCACGCCGCCGCCGCCGCCGCTGTCGACACTGCCGCCGCTGCCGCCGTCGCCGCCGCAGCCCCTGCGGTCGACGTCGCCGCCTCACGCGCCGTGGGGTCGACCGACCTAGAGTCGCTGTCATTGTGGCTGGAATGGGGGTGCTAGGTTAGGGGGTGTGGGTGTGTGTGGGTGTGTGACTACCAAGCCTAGGGGGTGTGTTAAAATTATATAATTTATAATTTATATAGGCTTGGTAGGTTGTTACTGAACCTTTTCTGTAGAGGGTACAAACCCCTCCTTGTACTCCTCTCTTACTAATCCAACTCTCTTTTCTTCTCCTCAACTTTCCTAGCACCTAAACCTCTCGCCATTCTCATGGCTCCTCCTAGCTCCTAGCTAAACCTTGTGCCATTCTATGGCTTCCTAGCTAAGCTAGTCTTTTGACACAAGGTGTTATGTAGAATGCAAACCCAGAAAAACGGGTACTCTCAAAATGTGCCATATCATAAGCTATCCCACGCATATGCCACCCATGGGATGGGTTGACTATTTCGGCGGGTCTTACATACGGGGGATTACGGTAGGTGCTGATTATAAACTTATGGCGAGTAACTGCTGATTATAAACTTATGACTCTGATTAATATTTGCAATGCGAACCCTGAAGAAATCAGACTGGATCCTGAGAAATCAGACTACCATGGAATCTGAAACCTGGCTACTCAGACTTAGGATTTTTTTGGGGGGCGAAAATCAGAGTGGGTTTTTTTGAAACGTCAGCCCTGATCCTGATCCCGTACCCTATAATATGCTCCAAGTTGCCAATGTGGTGGACATTTTCCGGCTATACCTGTTTATTTGACTACAATTACAGTGTAGGTTTGCTGCTGGAGGACAGCAACTCGGGTGTACAGTTTCCTCGAACCCTATGCGTGAAACAGCTCCTTGCCCTATCCCATCAAAAAGTCGGTAATGGACAGATTACTCTGCCAAAAGGTCTAGCATCGGTTTCCAGGATTGCAGGGTGGGCTTCGACGCGGTCAAGCTCACGGCTGCTGAAGAGCATCTACGCCGTGCACCACAATGTACTTCCCGCGGTAGATCCCCGGATTCACGATCTGGGACCACGACAAGCCGTTCCAACTTTGCCCTAGCGCGTACGGCGACCCTCTGCGCATCAGCAGCGGCACGAAGTATTTCCTCAGTCGGCGGCCGGGCAGCAAAGTCGGGACGCTGCTGCTGTGCTTGATTTCACGGAACGGGTAGTAGCCGTCCAGGATATGAAGCAGCCCCATTTCCAAGAACGTAACGATCTGCTCCGGGCTCGTGCCGTTTTTTACGAGCGAGCCCACCCCCACCGCCCCGAGCGCCTCGTTCTGCGGAATGAGAATGGTCTTCTTGCCAATTATGGGAGAGGTCCCCATCCTCCGGGAAGGTGTCTGAGGGAAGAATGGGAAGCAGCGGAGATGAAAAAGGAAAAGCAGAGGGAATGAGACCAGCACCGTGGGGAAAACACGCGCACAAAAGGCAAGCAGGAAAGGCAGTGGCTCTGGATTTGACCGCGGACACCAGGGAAAGGAGCCATTGACGACGCTATGCGGAATGGAGACAGTTACTTGGGACAGAGGATTCCCCAACCGGCATCCCTTGATGAAACGGAAAATAAGTGCTGCACATTTTTTACAATTTCTTTTGTCGCTGGCATTCGCTGTACTAGCGGACTTGGCGTCGGTTACCTGTTCCAAGCGCCGTTTGTACCCTTCGCCGTAACCTGGGATTCGGCCTTCGATGTCTCGCCGGTACAGGGCATGAGCGGCGCCGATTTTATACTAAGGAGAAAACCGACGCCGCGGGCGTAACACTTCTAGACGATAAGCATATGAACTTCTAAATAGAGCAGATGAGAATTCTGGCATTTACCCAGCTTCGGAATGACTTTATCCATGGCGGTGACCACGAGCGTGTACCTCCCCAGGTACTTGAACTGCGTCAGCGCCTTGCGCAGGCCCAGAATCTCCTTTATCAGCTCGCTCTTGGTCTGCGCGGCGGCTGCGGACACGAACAGAGCGAGAAGCGCGCCGATAATGAGAGGTCGGAACGACATGACGTCTCGTGGCTTGATGGCGAGGGGACAGGGGCGGAAAGAGGCGAGATGGTTGTTTGAAGAACGCGGATTTTGCTTATGGTCTGCTAGCTTATGCTGGTGCTTCCGCGAGAAGCAGAACTTGCTCTAATGAAAAGGCTCAACAGGTAGACACAGATGACGGGATTTTGCCTTATGTGTAAAGGAAACCCAGCACATTCTAGCACAGTTCTACCCTTCTAAGGGGGACTTCAATCAACCCTATCACACCGTAGTAAGAGTTGTATTTATTTCTGTAGAATGCACATGAACGCAGTGAACCGAGCTAGGTGAACTCCGACAACACGCCCTAAAAAAGTGCTCGTTCTGCACGACAACAAAATGGGAGGTTGCTGGAGGTGAGGGCGGGTGAACGGGTCTGATCCAGGGCTTATCTTTACGAGCAAATACCAGAAATAGTAGAAGTTTCACGGGTGATGTTTTTACCGTCCCCCAATTCTCACGGATAACAAATTCATTCTGATGGGTGGAGTTTCGGGATCGCACGGATTCGACGGATAGTTGACAGGCAGATACCGAGACTGTAAGTTTGGACTGCCCTCTCCCCTTCATAATGCCAGTACAGTATTTCGATTTGTTTGACGTTTCTGTGTACAGCTGCACCCCGTGTTTTTGCGCCCTCCAGGCAGAGGAGGGAGCTTGAAGCTGCCGTGTGTTTAAAGGGACTCGGATTTTATGGGCGGCTTTCGACGGAATCCGGAGTATGACGAATTGTTCTGAAGTATACCCGAATCTGCGAAAGGCACCGGAGTAAGCCTGGGTCCCACAAACGGACGGATATGGCCATCCATATCGGCTTCCAACGGTGGAGATTCCTTTCCTCTTTTTTTTAACATGTTCCAAGTTCTAACTGGCTGGGCGAGGTGAACTGGTTGGCTGGCCCCATCTGCCCTTTCGCCTAGAAATCTGCTGACTTTTGGGCGGTGAGGGGCGACTTCGACAAAGCAGCTGGGGCTGGGCTGGGAAAAACTTTCGGACTCCGAATAAAGAGGTGTGGAATCATCTGAATTTCGGACAGCAAATTCTTAGTGGTGGCGTTCTGGTATGGTCAATACCGTAGGAGGGAAGAGCGGTCAAAATGGACGTTCTCAAACTTTGAACAAATACAGTAACGTGCTGTTGGAGAAGAATCGCCAACAGACCTTTCGAATTGAACCTGCCGCTGTACAAACTTGCCAACTGGTCGACAGCTTTCGCCACGCCATCGGGAAACATGAAAACACCAGAAGAAACCCAGGGGATTTGCCAGGGTGGAAATAATGCCTTTCCCCAGAAGATACCGGAATACTGTACTAGTATGTTCAGTACAAAATTAAATTGTGAAAGCTTGCTTAGGTCCTCTTGTAAAGGCAGCGTGCTTCATTTCATCTGGCAAACATACATGGTTCTCGTCCAACAAAGAACTACACACAAGAGGGTGGGTGGGCGGGGAAATTAAACTAGAGAAACTAGAAATGAAGAACGTGGGTGAGGCCGAATGGCCTCACGTCCCTCTTTTGTAGGCAAAAGAGGGTGAGTAGCGCTTCGTCGCTGCCTTTGCTGCGTTGGCCCTCGCTACACTCTCACAATACACATTTTTAGAAAGTGTTACACACTTTCAAAAAATTACATATTGTGAAAGCTTGCTTAGGTCCTCTTGTAAAGGCAGCGTGCTTCATTTCATCTGGGTCTTCTGAAACATGTGCAGAAGGGGTTGGCGGTGGCGTTCAATAGATAGCTGGTGCTGATTGGGCGTGGGAGCGGTGGCTGCGTCTTGGAGTTGCATGGAGGCTTGAAGGAGTTGGTCATGCGCGATGGTAACGTAGAGCTCCTTGGCATTATCGCTGCGCCAACGGCCAAGTCGCTTGAACAGCCGGTCGGATATCCCCAGGCTGGCTGCCGCTGTAGCAGCGCCCTTGCGAAAGGAGTGGGTGCCGAGGTGGGCGCTATCGAGGCCGGCCCTGGTGAATGCTTCAAGGCACCAGTTCCGGATGGTGGTGTACGAAGGTGCGTGGTCCTGTGGAGTTGCCGTACTGCTGTTCCCGAAGACTCGGATCAATGGCCCGTGTGGGGTGGAGGTGTGACCCGCGAGGAGAAGAAAGTGTCGTGTGCAGCGTACCGGGCAGTATGGGCCAGAAGTGGCGGCGACCGGAATCCACGTGCCCCTGCTTTCCTGGTCGGTCTTGGAGTGCGGGATGAGCAGCCACATCGCCTCAGGCTCAAACTGTATGTCATGCCATTGGAGACTGACAAGGTCGGAGTAGCGTAGGAAGGCGGCGAACATAAGGATGGGGATGAGTCCTTTCTGGTACTCGGCCGGCCGGGTGGACTCCAGAAAGGGGCGGGCCATGGTGTGCACTTGGTGCAGCGACAAAGGTTCCTTGTTCCGGGTGGGGCGCGGGCCATGGCGTTTGGCAAATTCGCACACTTGTAGTGTAAATGGTCCAGTCGAGGGAGAGGGCTCGCCAGTCATGCGATGCGCGAAGGCGACGGCGGAGCATGTAAGCGATATGGCAGATGTGGTGGCCTGGTGATTTAGTGCATGAATGAGGTAGAGTGCCAAGGTCATATCCGTTGCAGGCAAGTAGCTCAACTTCACCTTCATGCAGAAGGAGCGAAATTTGAGCCAGTAGGGCTCATACGTTCGGATGGTGGAAGGGGCACGGACATGGGTGATTACGTGTAGTAGTTGTGTTTGCAGCTTCGTTATAATGCCTGAAAAGGTACAGCGTAGAGTACAATTATTATTAATTTTTATACGTGACATGCAATGCAATCATCTTACTAGGAGGAAAGCCTTGTCCTGCGAAAGCGAGTGCCGGGCGTAGCATTGGCTGCCGTGGGTGAGGGGAATGTGTGCCGTTACTTCTGGCACCGGCGTCAGGTGCCTGTTGGCACCATGATGCTCCCAGGCCACTCGGGAATGACCAAGGTCACCTCAGCGTGTGTGCGTTTAGCGTGTCGTAATGTGGCTGGAATGAGGTTGGGAGGGGGAAACGCAAAGCCGCGCTCGTGCTGCCAGCGAACGAAAAAGCGTCAAACACTGCGGCCGTAGGGTGTGGAATCTTGGAACAAAACCTCTCCAGCTGAGCGTTGTGCACATTTGCGAAGAGATCGATAGAGTGGGGACCCAGGCGGCGATCCAAGAGCCGGAACCACGGGGCTTTGAGGGAGTAGTCATCGTGGTCTTGGATTTTTGAAAGTTCGTCGGCGTGCACATTCAGCTCTCGTGGGATCCATTCGACAGCTAGCCTTGTTGGTGTTCCAGGCAGAGGCGAATGATTGCTTGACATAGTAGCGTAAGCGTGGGGTGGCGCGATCCACCTTTGCGTAGGATGAATACCACGCCTTGATTGTCTACCCGAACGAGCACGTGGCCTTGGGTAGCGGGCAGCGAAAGTTCGGAGAGCCCATAAAACTCCTTCGAGTTCCCGTCGAGTGCTGGAGGTGGGCAGTAGTTCCTCGGGCATGCGAGCACTGGCTTCAATGGGCGTCCCAGGAAGTTGTGTCAGGGTGGCGCCCCAGCTGTGTGGATGACAGCATCGAACTGGTGACTGAGATGGAATGGGTTTCCGTTGAACTTGTCGAACTGCGCAAGCCAAAAATGCAGCTCGTGCACTGCTGTCGACGACAAGTGTGCCTTAGCGTGCCAAGAGCAATAAGTCGAAGGAGCTCGTGACTAAAGGCACGTGCCGTAGCGCCCAATGCCAGATTCAAGGAGGCCAGCATTCCTGTGATTCTCGCAAGGGACCGGATGGGAACCGGTCGTCCCTCTTGTCCCTGGATGATGAGGGCTTGGAGTGAAGCAAAAAGTTGTGCTCGATGTTCGAGTCCGACGGAGAAGGTGCCTTGGGCGGCATCAATCTCCAGGCCGAGGAAAGCTATCTGGCGCGAGGGGTGTAGATGTGACTTTTTGCCGTTTATAACAAAACCTGCTGCCTTCAGGTCCTGAACAACAGCTGCGCAGGACGAGCGTGCATCCGAGTGGGAGTTGCAGAGGAATAGTAAGTCGTCAACATATGGAACAACCCGCACGCCGCTTGCCCGCCATCGCTTTGCCAGTTGTTTGATCAGTTGTGTGAAGACAAACGGGGCAGTGGCAAGCCCGAACGGGAGCGATATGAAGGAATAGTAGTCTCCTTCGAACTGGAATCCCAAGAACTTCCAGCAGGAGGGGTGGATCTCGACATAGTGGTAGCCTGACTTTAGGTCGATGGAGAACATCCAATCGCCTGGGCGGATGAGTTCGGCTACCCTGCTTAAGCCTTCGTACTTGAACTTGGGGATGTCGAGGTAGTTGTTGACTTTGCGCCAGTCAAGAATGAGGCGACACTTGTCGCGTTGCTCCACCACAATAATGGACTAACACACAAGAGCGCGTCCTTCGTAGGGACCTTGACGGCGGCACCCGAAGTGACGAGGTCGCGAATCGCGTCACGAGTGAAGTCCAGGTGTGTGCGAACTCCAGCATGATTACTATCCTCAAAGGCATGTGGCACGGCTTCCTTCCAGGGAAGCCAATATCCTTTCGCGATGATGGACAGGATGAAACTGCTATCGCACCATGAGCACCACCTGTGTAGGGCGTGACGCAATCGACAATGCATGAGCATTGCGTCCTTGTCTGTAACCGCGCACTCGTAGGGGTCATGTTCGTTGTGTAACCGCCCTTTCCCGATTTCTGCTGGACCAAAGGGTCGGGTGGCAAGAATCACATAGGTACCCAAGTGAGTGAGACCAAACAATTGCCTAAAGGGTGGATGAGTCATAGCCAATTCCAAGGGGGGCATAGCTCCCATTCAGTTGGCAAAGCGAGAGTGGCTCATGTTTAATTGCAAAAGGGGCATGGCTGATATTCATGCCTTCTCCCTTCAGCGCTCGAGCCTTCGTCACCTCTCTCTCTCTCTCTCTCTCTCTCTTTCTCTCTCTCTCTCTCTCTCTCTCCTCTCTTCTCTCTCTCTCTCTCTCTCTCTCTCTCCTCTCTTCTCTCTCTCTCTCTCTCTCTCTCTCTTCTCTCTCGCTCTTTCTCTCTCTCTCTCTCTCTCTCTCTCTCTCTCTTTCTCTCTCTCTCTCTCTCTCTCTCTCTCTCTCTCTCTCTCTCTCTCTCTCCCTCTCTCTGTCTCT